AGCAGGGGATAGGGAACACACTGATGCCTTTCAGTCTATTTGTGGGTCTTGAGCTGAGCTTTTCCAACCAGATCCAACACGGCGTGATGTGTTCCAGGGGGAAGTCCGTGGGGTTGCCCGCCTGGGCCGCATCTACACCTCTCTCTCGGCCCCTGTCTTGAATGATTTGGCGGTGACGGTAAATGCCCTGGGGCATGCCGTGAAGACCTTCGCCTCGTCTGACCACGTCCCCGTCGCGGCCACTGTCGCTCTGAGAATGCCATCAGCATTGCCCACCCAGATTCCTAAGTGGATTTCCCGACATGGAGCTCACCATGAGTTATGTACCAGCGCTATTATGGAAATCGACCAGGATCTGAACCCTCGTGAGAAACTGGCTCGGGTGAAGGAGATTTTCTGGCAGATGGTCCCTCTGTTCAAGGCTCGGCTTCGGTCGAAGCCCCCGAAAGAGAATTGTGAGAAGCTCCACTTTGCTATGATGGCCTTCCGTGGGTGGCGTATGGGCAGGTTCGACCAGTGTGCGCGTGCGATACGTGCGTATCCTCGGTTACTTCAGTACATTGATCCTGACCGTGAGAGATGTTTGGATATAGTCGGCTTAGGTGCATTGGTGCAGTCTCTGAAGGATGCTTGGCATGAGTCGGAGGAACGGGCGATGGACGGGTGGGGGGATGACGAGAAGTCTAAGGCTAAGGCAATGGCACGCTTGCAACACCTTCGTCGTGCTTGATCAAAGATGCGACGTCGATGCTGGCTCTCTGGGGTCCTGGGCAGTTCTGGACAGGTGTGCCCTTCTCCGACGGCCTCTGCTGAGGCCCTTCGGGACCATTGGCAGGCGGTTTTTGCCGCCAAGGAACCTGATCGGCCCTCTGGCCTGAAATCCCCCCTCGCTCATGCCCAGCCGATCCAGTTGGACCCGGCACATTGGCAGTTGGAAGTTGATGATTTTATTGAACGAGCCCGATTTAAGAATCACTCTGCCCCTGGGGAGGATGACATTCTGTATGGATGCTGGACAGCCGAGGGGGCCGCTGATGTTGTATTTGTTGTCTATGATGAGATGTGCCAAGCGTTGGGGGTACTGTTTCGGCGTGCATGCGTCGTGGAAGGATGTGTTTCCCGCCCAAAGACCTCAAAGACGACGAGAACCCCGCTGTCCTTGTTCGGTCGCCTGATAAGACTCGCCCACTCACGCTTGCGAATGCCGATGCGAAGCTCCTGAGTGACGCCTTCTCCATTGGCCTCCAGCGGGCTGCGCCGTCAGTGATTGATCCGATCCAGCGGGGGGGGGGGGGTCCGCGGCGTGGGCTCCTTGACAACGTGGTCGAGATTGAACGGTTGGGTCTTCGTCAGATGCTTACTGGTGGGGATCGCTCGGGCATCCTTTTCACGGACTTTAAGGCTGCGTTCCCCTCTCTGATCGTCTCCTGGATATTGGCGGTCTTGGAGTCCATGGGCGTTCCTGGTGAAGTTTGTGGCTTCTATCGCGAGTTGCACCGTGACAGTGTGGCTGTAATCCACTTCCCTGGGGCTACTGGTGTTACGTTTTCGGTGGAGCGTGGGGTGCGGCAAGGTGATCCTGCTTCGATGCTCCTCTTCGCTTATGCGTTATACCCAGTATTGCGTTGGATGAGGGCCAAGCTCACGGACCATGTCCCTCGGATTAGAGCGTGCGCTCATGATCTCTCTTTCTGCCTTCCCGACATCCTGACTGACCTCCAGCCGACGCTCTCGATCCTTCGTAAGTTGGAACAGGCTGTGGGACTTGGACTGAGCATTCCCAAATGTAAGGTACTGGTGATTGGCTCGCTAGGTCCTGATAGATTAGTTGCCCACCTTCGAGCCAAGGGGAGTGAGTACTACCGCATTGGGTTTGTTCGTGTGGTTCTATACTTGGGATTCTGGCTTGGGCCTGGGGCTCTGGACAAAGTATGGAGCAACACCGTCCCCAAGTTCTGGATGACAGTTCGGAGGCTCCGTGGGCTTGGGCTTGGGCTTCCACAGACCATTCGCCTCTTCCGCTCGCACTGCATGCCGATTCTGGCGTACCAGTTACAACTCTGTCCAGTGACCAAGGCCCTTCGGAAAGCGCATAATGAGGCCTTGCAGGTGATTGCTGCTGGTCCCCGCCATGCCTTCTCGGGGGAGATGCTGACGGGCGTGCGAGCGTTGGGGGCCTCTTTAGAATGCTTGGGTATCGATTGTTTGTCTAAAGCTATCAAGTTTCGGGTGGTGGTGTCTTGCTCCAGTATACATGCTATCCAGTATGAGATGGAGTCGTTGACGGTTTCCCTGGATGGCGATAACTTCATTCTTGCTCGACTATCATGGCCCTGGTGGAAGTCTTCCTGGATCAGGACTACGGTGACTGAAGTAGGCAACTTCACGGTCCCGTCCCTGGAACCCATCCCCAAGAAATCCCTTCGGAAGAAAGCCATGCGCAAGCTCAGAGGGCTCCGTGACCCCACTGTTCCCCTTCGCACCATGGTGCAGAGGGTGTCCAAGTGGGTGGGTCCCGACCGTTTTACGGTAGCTGACTTTCAGGTGCTTGCCCAGAGGATGCGTAAAGTTGAGAAGGACATCGCGATGCACCTCGTCACGGGGGTACTTAGAGTGCTCTGCCGTGGGGTCTGTACCTCCAGTCGGCTGCGTGCCACTGTGGAGGGATGTGCGTTTGGGTGTCCTCTGGAAGCGGCTGACGACGACCTGAAGCATTATCGCGTGTGCCCCAAGTGGAAAGCAGGGTTGATTGACATACTCCCCCGTGGAGGACTTCTGAGGTCTTGGACCGAGGCTCTAACGGGTGAGGATTGGCTCCTCACTCTCCGTTGTCTGGGGCCACAGTGGGGGGCGGTCACGTGACCTAGTGGGGCGTGCCCTTGTTGATTGCTTTCTGGCCGCGCATAATGCTCGCAGGACTGGCTCGGTCCAGCCGGGGGATTTTCTTATTAAAGCAAGGCTTCGACAGCTGTCTCGTCGGCACCCCAGCCTTAATGAGGCGCTGCGAGCGTTGCGTCTGGCTGCTGCTGCTGCCGCCCCTCCCCCTGCTCCTCCTGCTCCTCCTGCCGTGCCCCTCCTCTCCTGAGTTGCCGTGGCCCCCCTTTTTGGTCCCCCCTTTTCCTTGTGGCCCCCCTAGGTATTGGTCCATGCATGATGCTGTCAGAGTTTGATGTGACCCTGGTGGGTCTCTCTGGTTGGCTGGCTGGTTTTCCGAGGTTGTTTTTCCTGTATTGTGCTCTCTCTGCGTTCTGTTACGTTTCTTGGTTAATTCAGGGCCCCGTGTTGTCTCCGCCTGCAGGGGTGTGGTGCAGCTAGAGAGAGTGCCTCTCTCGCCGCGCCGCCGCCCCCCTGCCTCGGGAGGGTGCTTCTCTCGCCGCGCCGCTGCCCCCCGCCTCTTCTCCGCCGCCCGCCCCGCGGCCGCCCCGCCTCCCTTGCCTGCCCCGCCTCTCTTGCGGTCCCTGAACTACAGGTTCTCGGACGGGCGGAACGGCGGAACGGTCTGGTTCGCTCGAGCGTCGATGGAGCGTCGCTCCTGTAGGGTAGGCAGGCCTTCCCGCGACGCCAAGCCGTGGCGCCTCCAGACACCCGTTGCGTCTGGCGCGGAGGAGGTCATCCCCCTCTGCCGCGCCCCGCCGTCGCCCTCAGGTTCCCGACGAAGCTCGAGGCACCCCCGCAGCCGCTCCGCGCGAGAGAGCGGTCCCCTCTCGCCCTCAGGTTCCCGACGGAGTTCGAGGCGCTTTGGAGGCCAGCTGTCTTGTTTCCCTTGTTCGCTGTGTTGGGGCCTCGTTTTTGGGGCGTGGCCCCTTTTGTCTGCTTCTGCCTGCTGCGCTGTGGGTTGGGCCCTCGGTCAGCCGTGGAGTGAGTGTGGCAAGGGAAGGATGCTCGAGTGTGTGATCCCCTTTTGGACGGCGTGCCGCGGGGGGGCGCGCGCCCGCCAGGGATCCAGAACACTCGGATTAGAGTGCCCGCCGCCGCTTCTCTTTGCCCTGCCCCTGCCGCTGCTCCTCCCCCGCCCTTTGCGTGCTAGATAGCACGGTGCCCGGTGCTCGATGACATTCGGTGTGCGCGCTCGCGGTGGAAAAAAATCATCCCCCTCTCCTGCTCCTCCTCTCCGTCCCACCTGCCCCCCTTCCTCCTCCTCCTCCACCTCCTCCTCCTCCTGCTCTTCTTGCTCCTCCTGCTGCTGCTGCTGCTCCTCCTCCTCCTCCTCTTCTCCCCCTCCTGCTCCTCCTGCTCCTCCTGCTCCTCTTGCTCTTCCTCCTCCTCCTCCTCCTCCTCCTCCTCCCCCTCCCCCTCCTCCCCTTCCTCCCCTTCCTCCTCCTCCTCCTCCTCGTCCTTCTCCTCCTCCTCCTCCTCTTCCTCCTCCTCTTCCTCCTCCCCCTCCGCCTCCGCCTCCGCCTCCGCCTCCGCCTGCTCCTGCTCCTGCTCCTCCTCCTGCT